CGGATTGAAATCAATGTATCTTTCTTTTCCTTCCTTCTGTTCTTCCATCCTCCCTCTCCTTTTTCTAATGCTTTTCAGGTATTTCTTTCTCATATTGTTTATAGTCTGATTCTAGTTTAGATCTAGACAGCACTTACTGAAGTGTCACTAGAGCAAGAAAGAAGTGTTGCATGATAAATTCACAGACTGGTGGAGCGAGAGAAGCTGGGGGAAATGGCAGACATTCTCAGATTTCACTGAACAGCACTTTCCTGTATTTTCTCATGTTTTATTCGATATGTTTAAAAATGTGGAAGCTTCAATGTATCTATATAATGAAGCTCAATTGATCCTAAGTCTTAAAACCTCATGAGGATGTAGTGTGATTCAAAGAAAATTAGTTGTAGTGAAGATGAGGTTCACTTTGGAAAGAATGTGGCTTCATGTCACATCAGCCTGGAAGGTGTGCAGAGCCAGCTCGTGTCTGTTCTCTGAGTACCCCTGTCCAGTTTGTTTTAGAACTTGACTTTCTGAAGAACAATGCTTTCTTCTCTATTTAAAAACTAATTTTTTTCTATACAGTTTAACTTAATAGAGTCCCATTTTATGTATTGACTAGAGATGGCATAAAGATAAGTGAAGGTGATGTTTAATTTGTGCTTGGCTGCAAAGTCAAATCAGGAGTATGGTTTAAATATAGATTTCATGTCATCCAAATCTTCATATCTTCTCATATTTTCTTTTGTGTTCTTATAGTGGAGGTCCGTTATGAGAACAGGTGTAATTGCAGATTTCTGCTCATATCCAGATGGGTTCTAGGAAATTGAGCTGTTCTGGGTTGAGGTCTGACCCAAAATAAAACCAGGTGTACCAAGTTCAGATTTGAGAACTTCATTGGAGCTAGAGATGCATACAGTGTGAAGATGGAGGTTAAAGCCAGTTTACCCGAAATTGGTTTGTTTTTTTGTTGTTGTTTTAAAGAAATAAAAATTGGAAATCATTAGAAAAGAAGAAAGTATTTGTAAACTTATTGTTCTTACAGATTATTATGTATGGAATACACAACATATTATCACATTGTGCAAGTCTTGCTTATGTTCCAAAGCACATCAGTGTTAATTTGGTTATATCCTTTGAGAAGCACTGGTTGATGGGGTGACATATTACTTACATGTGGTACACAAATAATTACATGTCCTGTTTAAGTGTTGTATACCAATATTTTTAGTCACTTGAATGCCCCAGCATAAAATACCTGCATACACATTCTGGCACATTACAAAGGGAAATGTCCTGTGTTTTCAAACTGCTTCACTGTTGGTTGTATTTCCAAGGTGAAAATGTTTGTTACTGTCCAGGTTCTGTAGGTGTTAGATGTACTTTTTCTACTGGAGTTCAATGATTTTGTCTTGTGTAAGTGTTTTATTTAATTTGTCACAGTTGTTTTCAATATTTGCAGCAGGGATTTCCTCTGGTATAAAATAGACTTTATTAGACTTGCCTGTCTAAGGGCAGGAAAACTTGTCTTCTGTCAAAAGACAGATACGCTTTTCATGTTTGTTCTGGCTTAATTATTTATATTATGTATTTATTTGTGTCCACTGTTCTCCCACATGATTTAATGCTGGCAATAGATTTTTCTTCCTTGTTTTTTCTATCTTCCTGCCACAGGTCTGTTGATTCAGCTGTGTGAGTCTGAAGGATTATTCGTTTTAGGGAGCTGTCAATAAATGGAGTTTAGGCAGTGTTGAATAACACTGTTTCCTTTTCCACTGAAAAACAAACACAATGTCTTCTAATGCCCTTGTGTGTTGGGCTGTGCTTCATGCATCTTTGTGGCAGTGATTGGAATGTGAATGTTAGTGGTTCTAAGCAGTTAGAAGAGGTATAAAGTCTGTAGTAATTTTGGCACTGGTGTCTCATACTAAATGCTCCACAAAGGAAAATGAAATGCCAGTTTCATAGGAGTGCATTTTGTACTGATTAGATTTAGTTCTTTGAGTTTGCTGTTGCTATTCTAGGTTGCTTTGATAGTAACTGAAGAGTGGATATCTGCAAAATACCTGTTAATTTCCATTCCCTCCCCTTATTTAGTCTTCTGTCTCGATAGTCTCAAGGGATTGGAATTTGTGCTTAATATATTTTAGTTTGTCTCTGTCTTACTGCTCTTATTATAATGAAGGATTAAAATGACTCCTAGAGTATGCATATTTTCATGCTTTGACATATATTTCCTAAGCACCGTTGTGATGATGTAGGCAGCTGAGCTTTGGTGTTTGTGGTCCTCTAGGGTATCCACAGCAGAATCAGTGGTGTCATCTGCAGCTGCTGTGATCTGAATTATATGTGTCAGCTTTACAGATGTAAAGAGCAGAAGTAAAACATAATTTAGTTGTTCAGATATGTAGTCACATCAGGGTACAAATATTGTAATTTCATATGAAGGAGAATAATTGCTCTTGGAAGAATGGGGTATGAGTGAGAGATGTTGCCATGTAGGTGCCTAATTAATCAGCCCAGGTCGAATTTCAGTCCTTTAAAATTCTACCAAGATCTAGTAGAACATGCTGTTTCCCTATCTTCAAAACAATTTTCTTGGGAGTGGGGAAAAAAAACCCCACCAACCAGATTTTTCTGATATTCCTGTTGTGAGGATTTTAAGTTCATGTGTAGCTTGACTCTATGGGCTAGAGAAGTCTGTGATATGTGAATGAAACTCTAGAGCACTTATATATTATCAGTATCCATTATTCTCAAAAAGGGCCAGAAAATAAAAGTAAGGGGCAAAATTTTCATGTTGCATTCCTGTTTACCTGTAGAGAAGTTTGTTTAAACCCCACAAATTGATCAAGGTTTTTTCTTTAAAGAATGATTCAGGAGTTTTTTTCTGTCTTCCAATCTTATCAGTTGAGTCTAACATCCATGAGTAGTGGAGCTAGTCTAGGCATTGGACTGTGATTCTTTTACTTTGTAATCACACAAAGATTCATAGATAACTTTGTGTCATGTGAACCTGCTTTGTTGCTGACTGGAATTTGAACAACTTCCAGTTGCTCTGAACAAACAATCAAGAAGTTTGATCTAATGATACAATTTTATAACACAAAAAATCGAAGTAAAATAGCTTTTAAAGCTAATTATGAAGCAGTTTCTTGTGTTCCTATTAATCTTGTTACTTTGTTTATTCTCTAAGCTCTTTAATGCAAGGAAGCGTAACTGAAGGATGTCAAAGTACATCTCCATTAGTAACACTCTGGTGGTTTGCCTGTGCATTTTGTCCAAGCAGCACGACTCAATCAATATCTTCCTTGCCTGGGAGAGTCAAGGGAGTGTGTGTGGCAAGCCAGGCTCCATGTGCACTTCAAAATATTCCAGAATTATTCCATTGTTTAATTGAATTCTGTGCTTCTGAGGCTGGCGGGAACAAGATCAGTTACTGTTGTCGAATTTTGGACATTCCCTGTGTGTTTAGGGTTCGAACTGTGGTCGTGAGTTCATAACAAAAAGTCAGCTGGTTCACATGGGCAGGTCTAGGGAAGCACCTCCTGTTTGCCTGCCTGTCAACCAAGATTCCTGCAGTACTCTTCACAGGCACTTGGCACAGCTACAGCATAAGGGCTAAGTTCTGCTTTACTCTTAAAACACAGGTTCATCTTCCTCATGAGTAATAAATATTTTCTCCACTTTTGCAACTTTGTTTTTTCTACGTAGAATGACTTCAGGACATTTGCTACTGTGATAATTGATTGATCTGTGAGTTAATATTAATTAGGCAATAGCATACAATTCTTTGTTCCCAGTTATGATTATTTAAATAATTTTTAAATGAAATTTGGAAACTGAGAATTGCCACAATAAATAGCTATGATGGTTGTTTTATTTGTTAAAAAGAAAATCTCAGAAAATATACTCTATATCTTCTCAACTTGGTCTGCTGAAGAGCACAAGCCAAAATGATGCGGTTGGTGAATGGCCAATATAATTATACCATGTAAATGAGAGACAGACTAAGGATATTGCTTAAGATTCCTACATTCTGATGGTTGGTAATTGAAATGAGTTAAATTTATACAAAGCTTTTCTGTAAGTGTGGGTAACCCATCTTGTGAAGTAATTGGTATTTGGTGTAGGTAGTTTTCTGGTTGCTTGTTCAGCATTTATTGAGAGGTATACTATAGTCCTTGTGAGATTTTTCAAAATTTATAGTAAGAACTGTTGGATCTCTTCAGAAAATGCAGGATCAGACTGCATCAAGGTTAGTGGTTGTTTATGGAAGGTAGAGCCTCCAGGGTAGTGCAGCAGGTGAATAGGTCACAATGTTTGAGAGCAGCTCTCTTTGATTTGCAATTGAGGTGTGGATATGTGAGTTATACCACCAGGAAGGACACCCAGAATAGCTTTGTTTCATAATATTTGAATGAGGGTTTTTTTCATTATTAATAAAAGATACACCAACAGGATTGATATCCTGTACATCCAGTGTTAGGATTAGAAACAGTCTTAATAAAATGGAATTGATTTTTGGCTTTGAAAGAAAAGCCTGACTCCTTTTTTGGGTTTGTCCTGGCTGTATGAAATTTTTCACAGTGCTGAAAATATGTTGGTAAAAGGGTGATTATTACTGTTGTTCTTGTTGTTACTATTATTACTGTTATTATTAGTATTAGTTTTTAAAACCTCCATGAACATGTATTTGCACTAACAGGGCATTTCTGAAACAGATGGTCCCCAATTTGCTTTCCTTGACAAATTAATCCAGAAACATTTTTAACAGATTCCTCATCTCTTTAATGATTTTTTTTTTTCTTCTTAAATTGCACTGGAACCAGCATGAAATGCTGGACTAGATGCAAACCTGCTATGAAACTGATATTCTTTTTTTATTCCTTTTTCTTTTTTTAAACAGTTACTCAGTTCTTAGGGGTCTGCATGGTATAGTCTAACTGAATCAATTATATTTAAGTGCACAGAAGTTGGTCATGTTTAACTTGTGCTGTTTACCTTTTTTTGCTTCCCTATAGGTACATTCGAATTGTTGGAACCCACAACACAGTGAACAAAGTTTTCCATATTGTGGCATTTGAATGCATGTTCACAAACAAATCCTTTACTCTGGAGAAAGGTCTGATAGGTAAGAGATATTTTCCATTTTCCTTTTTTAGGAAACCATTTTCCTTTTTTAGGAACTGGTGTAAACACTTGTCTTTTAAAGCTGGCCATTACTGCACTCCTGTTTCCATCCAGAAATCTCTCAATTGAGTTAAACGGTGTTGTAAGCATAGAATTAACTGGCTAAGCCTTACAACTTCTATGAAATTCCAGTACTGTGGATTAATTAATGATACTGCAGGAATGCTGGAATTCAACCGCTGCCGACAAAGCCACTTGTAGCTGAGTCAGTCAGTGCTGGCAGTGTGATTTTTCTTTGCATGTCGCAGTATGGTTGCTCATGCCTCCCAATAGGTTAGCCTGAATTCTTTTACAAGAATGGACAAAGCATAGCTATTTATTGTAGTGATGATGGATTTGGACATTTAGGGCCTCTTAAACAGCCTGGTTACAACAGCTGAAAGTAAACTCTCATGTGTTCATTTCCCCCCAAAGAGTCATAGACATGCTTAGCCATGGCAGAACATTATATCAGCTATGCTGCAGTTATTCTCAGAACACCACACTGATGGAGCACTCTTAGCTCTGGGCAGCTTATATAACACTGATTTAAGTACCTTTATGTTACTTTAGGTAAAATCCCCTACAGACCAATGGTACTGAATGATAAAATGTGTCACAGAAAGATTTAATATTGATTTTTTTTTAATCGTTAAAATGGGGTGGTTTCTGTGCTTACTTGAATATAAACTCACAAAAGTCAGATCCTGAAGTTCATTGGAGAGAGAGTGTTGAGTAGTTGTCTAGGGGAGATTTCCCACAATTTATTACTTTTGGCATAAAATCAAGAATTTCAGCAAAATTCTCAGAGTTCATGCTGGTTTTAAACATATATTTAAATTTTAAATATGTACTCGTGACAGATGGAAGGGAAAACAGTTTTCAAAATAGGAGGAGAAGGAAGATTTTTAGTAAGACATATTCACTTCAAATTTTTCTCTGAGAAAGCTATAATATTTAGCTGTGAAAAACCAAGACCAAATTTCTTCAGCCTGTTCCCCATGCATTATACAAAGGCAAATCAAAAGCCTTCCCTTTGTTTTAGGCAGTGTGCAAGCAGCAATGCAATTGCTATTGACTTCAAAATAGAATAAGCAGTAAGGAAGAACTGTGTTAAAAGAAAATATCTCCCTTCAGTAAGCTGTTTAGCAGAGAAACAAAGTATCTCAGATTCAATAAAACCATTGAGCTAAATTTCATAGTCAGCACTGCCAGCCATGAGTTTTTAAAAACTTCATATAAAATCAGTTAGTGTGTACAAATATTTGTATGTGTTTGATTTCAGATGATAAAACTTATTTAGTAAATGCTCAATTTTGGACTTAAATAATTTTGAGTGTTAACACAAAGATTGTTTGATCATAAGTTGGCAAGGCAGTAAATCCACAAGTTCATTTGTGTAAGTGAACTTATACTGAAAGTGACTCGTCTTTCATAGACTCAGTTGGTTGAGTGATCATTCTGGTGAGACAAACTTTGATCTCTTTATCACTTCTTAAGTTTCAACGGTAATCTAGGGGATGAAGACTTTATATGGATTTATTAAAAATTCTCTGTTTGAGAGAATGGTTTTGTAGAATCTTACAGGTGAATAGGATTTGGCAGCATAATACTGAGGGTTTCCGGTGTTAATGGTGATTGATAATCAAGGGCAGCTTTGCTGCTCTTCAGTGTGGGTCAGTCAAGATGTTGTATGTGTAAGTCATTTGAAATTATCAACAGTAAGGAAAGAGAAGGGCCTGTAGATTTACACAGGTTTTTTTATTTAAGGGATATTAGTCAATTCAGTTGGTAGAAAGTTAAAAGTAAGAATTTGAGGAGCAGTTAATTGAAAGTGGCGTGTGGATAGTCTTCCAACTGTCAATGAGGTACCAGCAGTTGTATACATGACCCTGCAGAGTTTCTGGTGAGAAAGAAATTGAAAGATTTGGGGACTAGTTGAGGCCAGTCCAGTTGTTAAATGGAGCAGGAACACCTCTGACTGTCCATCAGAATTTTTGGCCATCAGTATTGCCTATTTAAAATTATTCTCAGCAGCTTTGATCCATCAAAGAGATATTATATCTATTCAATGCTTTTTTTCAGTGTGGTGATTACCATAAGGTGCCATATTGTATGGCTTCTGCAATCAAGCAGACTGCAAGTCCAAAGTCCACCTGAGTAAAAACTCAGTTTGAGTATCAGTGGGTTGGCACAGATTTATTTTGTTACTGTGATGAGGATTTGTAATGTTTGTTTCTGCTTCTGAAATGACCAGATAGGATAAAATGAACTGAAAGCAGTTAGGAAAAGTCAACAAAATATAAGAAAGTGCAGTAATCAGAGCAGATTGCTTTTAAGCTTGACTGAGTAGAGAAACTTTAATCTTAAACCCTTGAAAAGCAGTTCATTGGGTTCATTGCTTATCCCATATGTTATTAAATGTGGCATTTATTAAATTAGGCTAGAAAAAACACAGCTGCTGTTTCTATACTCTGTTTTATTAAAAAAATCAAGTATTGGTCAGCCCTAGAAGGCCATAAGTTCCTTTCAAAAAGACTTAGTGACCCCTACTTCTACCAAAACAACACTAAAGATAAGATGTGAAGATTTGTCATTTGAAAACTCATTCCAGAGAAATGAGGCCTCTGAAGTATTTGGTTAGAGATGTTATAGAGACTTGAGAAATTATTTATTTAATTTTTGTGAAAGATACTCAACTTGATCAGAGAGCTGTATATGTGAAGAGTGTAATTTATCAGATATATTACTACTGGTACATAATATCTATGTGATGGCCATCACCATACAGTGAAGATTAGAAGGCTGGTAAACAAATAATAAAAATGAAGTGTTGTTTCATTATAACAACAATTTTCTGTTGTTGTGTTTTTGTTTACAAGGTTTTAATGAAAAATTACTAACTTTACATATTACAATTAAAAGTCAATGTGGAAGGTGATTTATACAGTTGCTTTGTACAATACTGGATGTGGTACTAACACAACACAATGGTAGCTGAGTGGCACTTTTGAAGCAAAAGTAGCAGAAAATGCTCTTTATAGCACTGCCTGGTCTTAAAGTGTTGGTTTACAGTTTGTTGTCTTGTGAAATGAGGTGATAGAAAGGAATGTAATCATACGAAATTATTTCCCTAATGCAGATATTAAGGTTGAGATGTATTTTTCTTTCTGGCATAGCATTATTTCTAAGTGTGTAAGTTAGCAGTTTTCTATATTAAATTCATGATATTAACATAACTCTTTTGTTTAAAAAGGATGCAAATATTCTTTAATCTGACAATCATAGTGCTTGCTTATAATGAACTGCTTATGAAGTTTTGAATGGTCTTAAGCCATTGCTATATAATGTAGAATTCAAAACAAAAGAATATTTTCTCAAGTAAGAGACATAATGCTTTGGAAGTAGTACCTGATGTCATGCAATATATTGTAAAATATTCTAATCTGCCCGGTGGCAAAAAATTACAAGAGTTAAAGAGCTGCTTCTGTGCAAGGCCTCTTTAGGTTTCTTGGTGTTTTTTCCCCGCCTTAGTAGAGGAAAAAGATTCCTCTTTTCTGCCTCAAATGGAACAAAAAATTATAATCTCGGTGTCCTGTAATCAATTCTCAGTGCCAAGGGGCAGTCAAGGATTATGTGGGCTTGACCAACCTTCTTTCTGATTTTGAGCCTGGTGAAGGGCATTGGGAGTGCAATGTGGATGGTTTTTCCATGAAGCAGTGTTGGTCTGTGGTCTATCTGAGTCTTTCAGACTGTCTTGTAATGTGTACAATACACATGAAAGAGAGAACAGTGAATAATGACTGAACAGCCAGAATGTCCTTGGTCACCCTCTGAGGAATGCTGTTCAGTTCTTAGGAATCATCATGAACCTTCATTTGTGTGCTGTTCAATGCCTTAGGAGAGCTTGTTTTAGAAGGGATAAAATGATACAAATAAACATTCACTTGTCTTTTACTCCAGCAATTATTCAGAAAAAGAAAAAGAACAAACAAAACTGAATGTGTAACAAGGAGAAACCAGTCATATCAGTTTCCTAGTGTGTGGTTCAGCTTTGTAAAAGATTGCTTTGTCTCTCCCCAAGGAAGCAGTGAAAGATGCTGGGTTTTGTCTAGTTTAATGTTGACTCCACACAAAGCTATCATATTTTGTTTATTCCCTTTTGAGAAGGGTCACATTTTCTGAAACAATGCAGGCTTACCCAGCAGTATAATTCAGCTCTGCTGCAAACATAGCTTTAGGAAATTATGAAAAATTGAAGACAATCTAAATACTGCAGGAATTTTTTCCCCTTTCTGCAAGAAAGGGTACCCACATGGTTGGTTTTGAGAGAGATCTGTTCATGTGGTTCCAGTTCTTTTTTTTTTTTTAATCCTTTTCTCTGTGTTTCCAGTGCCACAAGGAGGGATGCACACTTCCTAAAACAGCTGACATTTCTGACAGCCCTCTGCAGACACAATGTTTAATGAAAGAGCCCTGTAGCAGCCAATTAGTTGGCAATGAAAAGTATGGCCAGTTCTAGTGACTTGAATGGTTTTGTTCTAATTTATTGGATTAGGAGTCACAAACTGTAGCAAATATCAAGTGAAAAATCAGCCTTCTCTGAAGATTTTCTAATACAATTTCTGACAGTTGGACAAAAAAACATATTAGTGGGGTTTTCTTTTCCAGCTAAATATGGCTTGCAGAGGGCCTTTCACTGAAACAGGTGAAGATACTGTTGATATTTGTTTGAAGTTGATATTTTTTTAGCTCTTGATTTCTTTGAATAATTTAATTGAAGATTCATATTAAATACAGTAATTTCATCAGCAAGTTTCAACTCAAGAAAATAAGAGAGTATGTTGAATGAAAGGGCATGTGGCTGTACTTTTAATTAACTGAAAAGTCTGTAGATTTCTTACTTTTTCTACCATGTAGCCAATAAACAAGGGCAAATTCATATATTGAATAAAGATTAGACTTAACAAATCTTTTGGCATGTGGAAAATAATGAGAGCAAAATGCCCATTACCCATTTAATTCTTAATTTTATATGATCAAACTCTGAAATAATCCTTGCATACTTAATTCTCTTTTTCTTTTGTTTCAGCTTTCTATTTTCCTACCAGCCAGGAAAGAAACTTTTGTCAGTTTAGTAGATGTTCAAGTAGAGAAGGAATGCAATTTTATAGTGAAAAATTGAACGATTGGAAGATGAGCTTTTAACAGATGTAATCATGAGAGGAAAATCATTCCTTCATACTAACTAAAACAAAATTATGCTTCTTCTAGTGTAATTGCTTGTTTATAGTTTCTTCACAATGGTAGTTTTGTGTCTTAAGAGAATTCCCTAAAATGAACAATTTTGTTGCAATGATGACACATAAGCAAAGAACTTTTGACTATTGCCTAGAGTGCAGTATAAATATATTCAACAGTCCATAATGCTTTAAATTGCTGCTTTCCTATAAAATAAGACTATGTAATAGATCTGCTGTCTCCCTGTATGTTTATTTTCATCGTTTCTTTGAGGTTTATTAATGGCTGGTTTTGTAAACCAGTAGAAATACCCACTTTGTTCTGTTCTTTTCTGTGTTGCAAAAAGTTATTTGAGGATTTTTCTTTCATATTCCCACCCACCCATATTGTAGTGAAGTCACAGTGGATGGACAGAAAGCAAAAGCTGACCTGTCCAGAATGAGAGATAAAAGGAAGTAGTCTACACTCAGATATGGAAGCTGCTTTGCTGCAGCAGTATTAACTTTTTTTTTGGAGTGTTTCAGGGGGAAAAAAATTTCATGTGAAAAATCAAGTATGCTAAAAAGACAAAGAGAAACAAGCTTAAGGAGGGATAATATGACTGAGGCTACAACACGCTTCTGGTACATTTTTATCTTGGAAGATCTCTAAGGACAGTTGAATAACATATCTGTCTTACCTTTAAATATAGTCAGTATAGATGACCCTTAGGCCATGTCCTGAAAATAGCAATCCTTTATAAAAATACCATTGCTAGAATTATATATACTGCTAGTTCTTCATCACTCCATACTGCAGCGTAAGACAAAGAGACAAGAAAGTAAGTTTTAATAAATGTTTGATGCTGCTGTCCTGTAACCTCAATCATCTTCTCCTTTTGTTTGCTTACAGAATGTGTTTGCTTTGCTAACACACAGTCTTTCCTGTTCCATAAAAGCAAATCAGACTTTTCAGCCCAAAACTGTTGTACGAACAGTAGGGGAAAAAAATTGTATTTGTAGTCTTCTCTTTTCTCTGACAATATTTAATAGCTGGATAGCTGGTGGATTAAAAAAAAAGGAAACAAAAATAGAAACAAGACTGTTGGTTTTGACAGTTTCTATTTGTAAATTAGTGACCTAAACGGAAGCAGGTATTCTAATGGGAAAAAAAAAGACAACCAAAAGACTTGAAAATACAGAAGAGTCCCCACCAGATGGTATTTTTAATAAATTTATCAAGTGTATATAAAAGATAATGAACATTCAAAATAGGGAGTGGCCGATCCCCTAGGGAAAAGGAACAGGATGGCACGTTCTGCGCACTTTAATTAGTCAGAGTCACCTTCTAATTAGCTGTTGTAGGGAAGACCACAGAATTATGTTAAAAGCACACCAAGACAGTTTCTGTACAGTTTTTAAGGAGTTTGATTAATCAGGGTAACATCATCTTAGGAGAGTCATGGATTAGTGCAGAAATCTAAATGTGAGAAGGAGCAGGGTGACGCTCAGAGGGCACACAGGCAAAATATTGCATGAACTGAGCTGCACTACATTCAATTAATCACTTAGCTCAGAGTGTGTCTGCAATGTGCCATGGAGCCTCAATATAAGCATTGATTTTGACTCTTCTATTCATTTTCTTTTTTACCAAGATTGGAATAGTTTCCTCTTCCTATTAAAAAAAAACCACAAACCAGCTCTATGTAGAAGATGCTTTAAAGTTTATATAAAATGAATACACAAATAAGTTCCTTTGCTCCCAGGGAGGGAGGAGAGGAAGAAAAGGAAGTCTAGACAAATTTTAATTCAATGCCAGTACTCTTAGTTCGCAGTGTTAGGCTTTGCTTTATTGAGATTGCTCCCAGTGAAGCACTTCTAATGTCTAACACCTGCTCTCCCATAAGAATCTAGGAATTGTTGAGTGCCTCTTTTCAGTAATTGGGGAATCAGGAGATTTCTAGAATAGTGAAGTGGTGATTTTAGTAATTTTTTATGAGCAGACAGAAATGATAGTATATTTGGTAATGCAGTAGCTTTTCCAAAACTGGTTGTTTTTCCACTGCCTTGGATTACTACTTTGCAATGATCTTGCAGTTTCTTCCCATATGTTTTTTAAGGTGTTTTGGTTGGTTAGTGGCTTTCTTACGATTATGCTTCTGACACCAGTAGCACAGTGAAATCACAGAATTCTAGCTCTTTATGGGAAATTATCTCTTTTTTTGCATGCTGAAAACTCATACAGTTATCTCTGAAATTTCTCATAACTATGTTCTAGTCATTTTTGAATGTTGTAGTAGGGGGAGGATTCCTCATGAAAACAGGAAGAAATTCTTTCAAAATTTCTAAAGTTTTGCAGTACAAGATATTTTTTTCCCAATTGTGTTAAAAGAGTGCTTTTGTATCACCAATACTGAAATCCATCTGTTAATTTACCAAGCTATTCTGAAATCGGTGGTATAAAAAGTATCTGTACCACTTGTTCATAGTTCATAAATTTCCTTCCGTTGATTTTATTCTCTTTCTTTTTTTTTTTTTTTACCAGTTCTTCTCCAGAAATAAAGACCACTGGCATCTGCACTGCTTTCTGACTGTATGTCTGTCATCTTTGTGTTTTTAATTTACAGTTCCCACCGAAAATGTTGCAACAATTGCTGACTGTGCCAGTGTGATTGAGGGTGTAAGTCGCAGTCGCAATGCCTTGTTGAACGGAGACACAAAGAACTACGACTGGGATTCTGGGTACACGTGCCACCAGCTTGGGAGCGGAGCCATTGTGGTGCAGCTGGCACAGCCCTACATGATCGGATCAATACGGTAGGAGGGTTTATTTTTCTCTAAATTAGGGGCCACAGTGAAATTTTTGCTGAGCAGTTATTTTCTTTAGAATGTATGACATTTGGAAATGACATTAATTAGGGGGCTAGTTTAGTAGTTGTCACTTGGCTTCTGACTTCAGTATAACAGGCATGTTAAAAATTAAATGTGTGAATTATATGTCGAGATACAGAGTGCAATTGCAGAAAATAATACTTTTCAGAGGCATAATAGTAGTAACAGTCAAATTATAAGATTAAAGTTATATACTTATTTTAAAATAGAATTTAATTGCAGTCTCACTTATGGTTAAGTAGGTGCAGTTACTGTTATCCACCTAATTCTGAAAACAATTTCCTTGAAGAAAATCATCATGTCAAGTCAGCCTGGCTTCCTTTTTGCTATACAATTACTGCTAGTTTTTACTTAAACATGGAGGGTGTAATAAAGGTACAGCAACCTGAATATTGATTTACAAGGCTGGATTTATGAATGTGTTTAGATTTGGATTGACGTTCATTGGGCTGTTTCTACTGTAAATGCGTGTATACATATGAAGATGAAAATTTTGGCTGTTGTAGAGACCTAGGAAATAGATAGGAGAGCCGAATTTTTCGCAGGTGAAAAGAAAAATATTCTTGCCAACTTCATATTCTCTGACTATTAATGTTTGGGATGTTTGTTTCATAAAATCAGGCATAGAAAACCTTGTCTTAATGGGATAATGGTCTTTGTAAATTTAGACTGTATATTCAGGGACTTAATTTGCATGCTCTGTGACAGCGAAATAAAGATTTCTGAAGTTCAGAGTACCAGTGATCAAAGGCTGAAGTCCCAGGTGAGTATTGGCTTGCAAACAGAGACCATGTATGTAGATATGTATTTCTAGGAGCTCAGTGCCTTCCCCTTGTTAAGAGCTGCCAAGTGAGATTTGAAAGCTCGTTTATGACTGCCAATTTCTATTTTGTGTGGTTTGGTTTTGGCCTATGGCATTGTTATGATGGTTATAAAACTCTGAAGATAGAGTTTGATATCAGCTATCCAAGCAAATCCCTAACCCAACAAAAGTAGTGTTTTGTGCATATGCATGCTGTAGATGTTATGCATAATGCAAGTCCAGCATTGTTCTCACTGTGGGAAACAAGTTGAGTAAGCGTGGTTGGCAACTTTCCACACTCATTTGAGTTTGGTGTTGTTAATATTCTATTAAATATTGCATCTCAAGTAAAAAACAAGCTGTACTCAGATTTCTTTAAATAGGTACATGAAAATGTAATGCTGTCATTTTCATGGCATTTTAAACTTAAGTAGCAGTTTTTAGCAGCAAGGGTTTGGCCATATAAAAGATGAAGAGAAGAATATGCTAACTAGAATGTATAGTTTCTCAGTTTCTCTGTCTTCCTATCTTACTGTTTTCTGATATGCTTCAATTGTTATCCTTCAATTATATATCCTTCAATTGATGCATTGTACCATCTTTTTCCAGTTAGAGAAAAAAACCTGAATTTCCTATAATAAATGCTATGCTATTGTTTATTCTTGTGCAGAAGATTTTAATAAGTCTCTTTATTAAATGATGTGTTAGGTGAATTAAACTTTGGGTTGCCAAGAAGTGATAACTGTGAAATCAGCAAGTGTATAAAGCAAATTAAAAAAATAACCCAAACATTACGTAATTCAAAACTAATAGGCATTTAGTGATTTATGTGGTATTGAATTGTACAGCTACAGGTTCAGAATCTCATCTTTCTTTGTCAGTTTCCCTGCATGTATAGTACAAACAAGATTAATAGCTTACTTTACAAAAATAACAGTAATAAACATAGTCTGGGGTATCTTCTTACCGAGGAGACTACCTGCATTGCCTAGAGACAGAAATGCTAGCAGCATGTCGTTTTTCCTTTTTTGTGTACTGCCCAGAAGAACAAGGGTTTTGTATTGCAGCCATGTCTATTGCAGGTCATAGGAAGCCAAGGGAAGCTGCCCCTTGGAGTGGGGAAGTGAAGTTTCACTCTGTGGCATCTACAGCCTTGGCAAGGGTCTGGAACATATTCTGTATTATGCAGTGCTGAAGATGATGACAGTGGTCTCTTTATTCAGCATCAGGAAATCTATGTTTTGTACAGAAATCAAATCATATATAAACATAGACAGCAAAAAGTCTTAGTATTTAATCTTTATGGAAGCAAGAAATTTTTTTTTGTTAACAGAATGTCTGCCATAACTGATAGAACTGTATTCACTGCCTGTTTTCCTGCTGTTTGCTTGTTTGAAAACTCCCTTGATCTCATGCTCCCACCTAATAGAAAAAAAATCCGGGAGCATTTGCTTTAGGCTGGCAGTACACCATGACTACAGAATGAATTAATTCTGCTACCCTCAGAAACTGAGTCATTATACCCATGGGTTTGGATTTTAAGTGAATAATTAGGAATTAAAGTATGTATCTTTTTAGTTCAGAAACACAAATGTGCCATTGAATATATTTATTTCAGAGGGGGTAAATATTATATAAACCTTTGGAAAAAAGGTAGTAGCTGCTTTTAGTCTGCAGAAATGGGAATATCACTGGGGAGAGCCTCTAAGACATGTTACCATGGCAACTAAATTCTGAGTATGGAAAAAAAACCAGAAGAACTATTGGTGTTCATATATGCCTTAGAAATGCAGAGAGTTGAATGTTTCAAGAATGTATATTGTATGCATGCTTTCTGCCAAAGTCATTCCAATGTCTGAGAATCTTAGCACCCTTCAGGTTGAAAGGGACTTGAGGAAGAAGGCATCTAGCATCAGGTTGTTTCTCAAAGGAGGGTCAGTTATGAAAAAAGACCATCCAAATCAAGGTTTTATGCACATAGGTCTTAAAAATTTCTAAGGCAGGAAATTCCACAACTTCTCTGGGTAGCCTGTGGTAAGCTGTTCTCAGACACTGACAAGTGCTGCTAGGTTCCTCCCAGCCCCAAGCCTCCTTAGGCTGAATAAGCCAGCTTCCCCAGTCTCTTCCACAGGTGTGTGCTTCAATATCATGAACATTTAGATGCTGCTCTGCTGGAAGTGCTGAGATGTATCCATGTTCTATTTGGATCCAAAAAGGGATTCAGTATCCCAGGCATGATCTAACAAGGGTCGGGTACAGAACAGTGATCTCTTTCCATTGTTTTGCTGGCTCAGTTCCTGTTACTCTAGCTCCATAATTTTGTAACCTTCATTGCTGAGAAGGCATGCAGGCAACTAATGACATCTGTTCCGTTTGACTCAGGAATTCCATGGGAGATCACACTGAAACTTTGTTAATATTGAATACTTCTATTTGTATATAAATAATATATGTGTATATGTTGTTATGTATATATATGTATACATATGTATGTTATTAGGTATATGTTATATGTATATAAATTTGGAGTCTTGACTTCCACATCAAAATTTACTCAGAAATTCTGAAAGAGGTCTAATGACAATCAATGCTCAATACTATTTTCTAGTAGAGAAGACATGGAAAACATGGAGATTTCAACCCATCCCTTTCACTCCAAACTATTCTGTGATCCTATGGGGTTTACTAACAGTTGTTAGTAAATATGATCTTCTAGATTATGAAATTTTAAAAAATATTTATGAGTTTTATTTTTTATTAGTTCTCAGAACAGTTAACAAAGTTATTGTTAATTTAGGTATTTTTTCCACATAGTTGTCTGTCTGGACACAAAATATCTTTCTCCTTTTAGTCCCTGTAAAGGTCCCTATCAGTGACAGGATACTATAGTATTTAATTAGGAGCAGAAAGAAGGGAACTGGTGTGTTTAACATAGTAAACACAATTTAATTTTTAAATGGCTAAAACATGAATATTGTAGCAGCTGGCATATCACAATGACTTTCTGTTTAATTCTCCCTGCATTTATCTGGACTAGAAATAGAGTACTATTATGCTACAGCTTTTGCCTGATTTTTCTTATAAATTAAAAAAAAATAATTGTTAGAGTGTATGTGGTAGAGATGGAATTCTATCCCATAGTGATTTTCATATTAGAATAAATAGGAAGACAAAAAGTATGTCTTTAGAAAAGTATATGAACTACTTATCCAACTTTAATCTTTTTGAAGACTTTAATGCTTGTATGAAATTGATAGCTTTTCATATACAGAGTAATCCATAAATTAACAAACAGCATCAGTGAACTTGAATGTATTTTCTGTTTGCTTATACCATCATCATATACATCTCTTATGCTTTCTGATTTTCCATACCATTTCTACTTAGGAAGCTTTTCTTTCTTTGCTGCACATTTTCTGTGCTTGCCTGACTTGAGAGTAAAATCATGACTCAGAATGAATGATCATAGGAGCACTTAGAAAATAGGCAGATAGGATCTTTGTAGGAAGAAAGAAGGTTTCTTGCAGGGTAACTACTGAAACATAAATATCTGCAGAAAATTGAAGGGGTTTATAGAGAACCAGAGGCAAAAATGCAGTAACAATTGTATAAAAAACTCCCCTTCCATGTGGAAGGGTGTTCTTCCTTTTTCTTTTTCTCTTTCAAGATGTGTCGCTACTTCATGTTGTAATTTCTGTTGTTTAGGTTTCTACAAGTATGCAAGTGGTTTATGAACAGAGTACTGTCAAATAGTTATCTGTATGTTCTCTGTAGTGACTTACAGTACTCAGGAAGCAGGTGTCATCCTGTCAGGTGCATGACTAATGTTTGGCTTTCTGCTAGCACCTTGAGTATATGTAGTTATATAGCAGTCTGAACTAAACAGTGATAATCTGTTTTACAGAAATTTAAAAATAAAAAGTAAGCACAGACAGAGAAAATGTTTTTAGCAATGCAGAACATTCAATCACAGGGTAACACATGACATTTAGGGACATAACTGTTTAAAAAAGTACTGCAGCATTTTTTTTTCCTGTTACAGGTAGCCAATATAATCATTTTCCTATGCCTGCAATGTGAAGTTTGATTCATATTTGAAAAGCTTTTATCTTATAAAGTGAGGCATTGTGGACATGTGATGTAAACAGCAATGTCATATTAAATGATTCACAGGCTTAGGCTCCAGATACCCAAAACAGAAATATGTTTAAATCTCACAGTGTTGCAGTGTGTAAGCTGGATAAATCTTCACTCAATTTTTCTTTCTCAGTCCTGAGGGCGAGATACACTAATGAGCTAATTTAACTTTTTTATTTCAATATGGAAAGTCCTAAGAACATGGGGGATTTTGCCATAAACAGATGCATTTCCAATGGGTATAGTTCTGATTTTTTAAGTGGAATATTCTCTTTCTGGTCATTTAATATTCATCTTAGCAAAACATAGCTTTGCTAAAAAAGTTCAGCATGGTAATTTGCCTGTAATGTGTCACAAAGATTGTTGTGCCTGGCATAAAAAGGGGCCTTTGTGCTCAGTGTGCACTGCTGAATATTTTAGTTGTCACCTGAAAATTTTTCACTGCTCATCCAGAAAGGCATTTCAAGCAGAGTAAATTCCACGTAAGTTCTACTGTCAGTCTACATCCTCATTTTCTCCTAAAAAGCTGCTAGAGAAGAAAAAACTTTTTATTTTCCTTCAGAAGTATCAAAGTAAGAGAAATCTACATTTAGCATTCATGCAAAGTCACTTTGGGAAAGATGCTGCTGACTTTAATTCACTCATTATTTGATTTATATTAATTCTAAACCATATGATTTTTAAACCTATTTAATGAGATTCAGTTGATTTGGAAGAGATCAATTATATATTTTTGAAAGGAACAAATATGTCCTGTTAGACTTTTGCTTTAAAAACAAGCCAGCTGTGTTTTAATTATGGTATTGTTAGTTGAAATTACAGTCACCAGTGTGCTTCTGATATTCAAACTCTTGATCATAGCTTTGAAAGCATGGATCAAGGAAACAGCAATGAGTCACCATGATAAAAAGGATTCTATCAAAAAGCATAATTAGCTACATTTTGATAGACTTTTTGAAGGAAAACAAATTTATGAATGTTTTTTATTTTTGCTCTTTTTATAATTTAGAAGACTTGGTTTAAATATAAATGTTAAATCAATTCAGGACCTGTTGATTAGTAACAGTTACCAAAAAGAGGACTGTAATCAGTAAACTTTTTTTAAGAAAATGCTCTTCATTCAGTGTCTTTGGAGACCTTTTGGCTGTAGAAAAGCAGAGTGGGTATAATCAGATGAAGGAGAGGTGTTGAAGTTGAGTGGTTGTGTTTTGGGGTGTGGGATGTTTCATTAAGATTGTTATGGTGCCACAGACAACTCTTCATTTTTTACTAAGTCAACTCTGAATTTTTTAATTTGCAAATAGACAGTATTCGTATTTGCTAAAAGACTTTTGTTGAAAGTGTTTTAATTTAGCTTCTTAAAGCAACTTTTGACAGCATATTATTTCTGATAATATTAATGAGTTACATTCAGCATTTAGAGAATTTGTTATGAATCTGCTTGGCCACTAGACCTAATTCCACTTTTAACACTGGGATTTCAAAAGCTGAAAACAAAGGCCTGAACTAGGATGTTTCTCTCTGTTCTTGGTGTTGGGAGGCTTACCTCGAGTACTGTGTCCAGTTCTGGGCCAAATATTTCTTATAACAGGGGGATTATGCCCATATAAAGAAAAGTAAAGAAGATACATTTGCCAGATATGGTTTTTGATAATACTTGAGCTAAATGCCATCCCTGATGCTTTAGGTCTTCTTCTCTGTAAGACAAGTATGGAAATCAAAGGCTATTCAATATCACTTAGTGCCCTTCCTGAAGGGAGTGCATGTTTTTTAGAATTATTGTCTTTCTTTTTCTTCTGCCTTTTTAGCAATTTGTTTAACAGTTTATTGCATTTTTTCCTTCTTCTTCTGATGAACCAGGACTGGGAATTCCCATTTCCTTACTTTTCAAAAATATATTTCTGATGTATTTTCCAAAGTCAAAATAAAATACAATTAAGAAGGCAGCATTATCCTTTTAATCACCTAATTATTTTTTCTGTCCTCTCCTAAACTGTCTTTTTGAAACAGATCTTTGCATCATTTATTAAGAAGGCAATGCCATGTGGCAAATCAGTTAAAAGTAATTGGATGAATATAGTAGATTAGTGTTCATAAGTTGGTTATTACAAGCTTGTGAGTCTGTTGCTGGCCTCAGGATAATAAGAATGGAGACACCGTAGTTTGAGATGGCAAAAACAGTAAAGACTTTGTTGAGTGTTTCAGGTACATTTCATAAGAAACAGTTACACTTAGAAAGGATTAAGTGAGAAAATAAAGGACTGGAAAAATTTAAAAGTTGGTTTGATGTTTAACTTTACATCTCAAAAACTTCTTCTTATGTAGGTTGCTACTTTGGGATTGTGATGATCGGAGCTACAGCTACTACATTGAGGTTTCAACAAATCAGCAGCAGTGGACCATGGTGGTGGATCGCACAAAAATTTCCTGCAAGTGAGTTTAGTTTTTTGACACTCATTGGCTCAAATTAAGAACTGGAAGCTGGGATTTTTGGTGGGATTTTTGTTCACTACTTACGTATGTTACTGTGAAAAGAATGATCTTTGCATAACCTGTGGATTAATGCAAGATTTTCAGAATCAATTTCTTAAGATTGCTTCTGGATCTTCAGACAGTCAGTTGGATTCTTCATTCATAAAAAGTCTGCCTACTATACCCTTGGTTTTGTCATCACTTCAAGTTAAACTGTGTTTTTCTGGAGGTCACATGTTTATGGTGACCCTCGATGTCAAGCCACCCTGCCTTGAGAAATGTGGTAGGAGAGGGAAGAGAGCATATTTGATAAAGGATTTTGCTACTCACGTGTCTTTCTCCCTTCCCAAAACTCAGGAATGTATTGTATCACATCTGAGGAGAGTGGGGGTAAGGACCAAATCATAATAGACCACACTGTTGCTAAAGCTTGATCTTGTCTCTGTTCAAAAGCAGAGTACTTGACTTATGCACTGAACACTCTGCTTTTGAAAAGCACCCTTCCAGAGAAAAAGAGTGCTCCTTAAGCAGAGATAAAAAAAAGAGAAAAACTTTCATTTTCATTTGAATATTTAAATCAGAAAAAATCAATCAGGCACTAATACTTTCCAACTGTATACTCTCCATTGGCCTTACTGCAGTTTCTGCTGATAAAATCTATTCATGCGATGATGATTCAAATTCCTAGCAAAGAATGATCTAGATATTGGTCATAAGACTGAAAAGACAGTCTGCAAATTCATATATTACGTATCCAGAAGCCAGGTATGCTCAGCATTCAGTGAATGTTGATGGGGTATGATTCCCTGATTAAACCCCTGGGAAGCTCAGAATTATAAAAATCTTACATCTTTCATTTTCCCTGAGTCAGTTTTCCATGAGATGTGTTTTCTTTCTTTGGACAAAATTCAAGTCATCAGCTTATATGGGGCCAGCCCCCACCCATCTTCTACTTGTGCCAACCAAAACAAAATTGATTTTACAAATTCAGAGACATTTTGCATTCTCAGTTTGTCACATCAAGCAAGAGAGTTATTCAGGCCTTTGTAGCAGCACTGCTGACACATTTTTCTAAAGTTTATATTTCATCCCTTAACAAACAGTGTGACTCAAATGCTTTACAACACACTCTGGATGTGTTGGTGAAGGAGAACTTGACATGTCCTTTCAGTGCCTGTAAAGGGCAGGGTATTGATGAGCAGAAACCTGGGTTCTGCCTGCAGGTCTGGAGAACGATTAAATCTTCACTAGTTCTCAAAGACATCTCAGCATAATAGATAAAACTCATCTTTTTGTCTGCCTCCAGCAGTGGGAGCACTAAAAGGTTGAAACCACAAAAGGGAGAGAAAGAGATATCAGGAATCTGTGCACTTTTTCCTTTTACATTTTGATATTGAAAGCCTTTTAACAGTCCAAAGGAGCACTTGCTTAAGTATGCACAGCGTAGGTGAAATTGCTGATAGACTGCCCAGTTCAAATATCTTTTCACCATGTTCAAACCACGCTTTTTTGCTTTTTTTGTTATTTTCAAAGCCTTAGCCTTGAGCAAATAAAGCTACATCCCTGAAGTAAAGATAGCTGCCTTCTTTGGGTATACTTCAAAATCTTGATTCAAAACATAGATACTCTGGAAATTCTCAAAGCTGTGGCTGCATGAACAATTTTCATGTGGATTAAAGAATTGCATTTTGCCTAACTTCTTGCTCTGACAGATGTGCAGTCAGCTGGCATTATGCCAGTCTTTATTCTTGAAGTCTACAAACAGGGAGTGTCCTAGCATTGTCTGTACCTGCTTTAAACAGATAAAAAGACCTGGTCATGAAGCTACCAGAGTTCACTGGCCATCAAATTTCAGGTGATTTCTTTGCATCTGATAGCATTTTTTACATTCAATTTATATCTCTGGCCTTTATGATCAGAAATATAGATTTGGGTTTTTTCAGTCAAAGAAAACTAAATATGTTTCATTTTATTTTCAGGTATGATTTGCAGAAATGCTGAAGTTACTTCAGCTCAAAAAACTACTTGAATTGTAACAGCAGATTGATAACCAAGTATATGTATTATATAAATATATGCAGTAATATCCATAGTATCAATATTTTTTCTCTAGTAAATATGTTAAATATATAAAATGCTATATAAGTGCCAAATGCCACAAATGTTAGAATTGGTCTGTAAAGAAAAGAGTGTTGTCATTTCATACAGTGTGTAATTACATACAGTACTGGCACACTAATTTTCTTTACTGAAAAATACTGAAACACAGTATGATCTAAAAAAGCCATACTCCTAGTGTTTAAAAATAGTGGAATGTAGAATAGAAGAGACATCATCATTCAGTGGCTCGTGTGCTGAATGAAGGCCCTCACATAAAATTGTTGGGTAAACTTTCAATGTGATGGTAGAGATTTCTTAATGAAAAGGGAAAAACTGAACCAGTCACTGCCTATGACTGATGAAGAACTATTTTTTGGGTTAGTTTCTGTAATTAAAAAAGAAATCTCAAATTGAAAATCTGGGGATGCTTGCCATGAAAACAAACAACTTGTTTTCACTTCAGGTAATTTTAACGGTGACAACAAATAGAAAAGATAGATTTGGATCTTAACCAAAATTAACAGATGCTGGTAAAGTGGAGGTGGTACAGTTTTCTGGTTTACTGTCATAGTGTAAGAGTGAAGATACTCCTGCTGGATGCAAAGGATTTCTTTTTTATCTGTCTGTCCTTCCTCTTAGCATTACATTGATAGTTTTAGTCTGCCTCTGAATGCCTTCTGTTGCTGATTTACAGGCTCCCCCAAGGAAAAGTAATGATCAAACTGAAGCACTGTGCTTGGGTTTGACTCACCATCAGGTTTAGGCAGACAATTATAATGCCTACGTTTGGCAATTTTTATTAACCAGACTAGAGCATACAGGGATAGAAACAACAGTACCCTCATCTCTTTGTTCCCTGGATGGTTTTGAATGCTGTGCTCCTCTCTCACTTGGGTGAAACAAAACAAATCTTTTGCTAATTTGTGGTCCAATTTTGCAGCTATTTTTTTATCTCAGCCAAATCCTGGGGTTTTTTGATGAATATTTGACATCCCAGCCTGAAATTAACTAATCCTCTGTTGGTATAAAAATTGTCTTCACTTAGACTTGTGTCTTTGTCTTTGTTTAAGGAAAATAAGAAGTAGAAATGTCCTTCCATGGGATTGTGGTTGCCCACTTGACTGCAATATACATACTGGAGATGGAGTGCAATATAAGTGATTGATAAGGTCTTGAAATCCTGAGGTTACCCTTTCTGGCATTAGTTCTGTGTTTAATATATTGCTGTAGACTGAAGAAAAATAACTCACTTGCTTTCCAATGTAGAAAATCAAAGTGGATGTAGTGAAAACATGGGAGAATTTCACAGGGGCCCACATTTGAAAAGACAGAATACTTCCATGAGAAAATTTGCATTACTAGTAATATTTCCTATTAGTTTTCCTGTCTTCAAAGATGTGTGGGTAAGAGTTCTTTTTATGGATAAGACTTTTGGCCTTCACTGTTTGCTGCCTGGTTTTATGGCTACCTGTTCTTGCAGTGGAGTTAGACTTTTATGGAAGTCATTAGCTTGCTCTCTTGCAAGTGTTCTGTGAGGTCTCCAAATAATTTTTGCTCAGTTGCTGGCACAAAGGGGAGGATGAACTGTCTGCTGAACACACACCTCGACAGACACCTTTGATAAACGGGAAGTGGAAGAAAAAACTATGAGAACAAAATTAAATTATGTTTAAAGAGCATGCATTGGTTTTGGCAGACTACTGAAGCATGAACTTCCCCTTTAAACTCTCAGTGTGCTCCTTGAGGTTGTTTTAATGGCATTTTTAATGTAGTGTTTTGTGTAAATTAATAATTCAGTGCTCAAAGGCGGGAAGTGACAGGCTACTCCTAACCTTTTCTTCTCCCAGTTTTAAAAGGCTGAAGAAAAAACTGGATGTCTGTTATCTTCACAGGGGAAGCTTGTGTACCTTCCCTAAGTGAGAGCCAATTTATGCATACTGGTTGTGTAATTGACAATTTTCACATGCTCTGTGGAGGCGATTTTTTTTTCTTTTCCACAATAAGCTGTTTTTCTCTACACAGTATGACAGTAATGAAAAACAGTCATGTTCCCTTCTATTTTTAAAAACATTTATGATAAGTGGACATGAGCGTGTTAGTGTTGAACAACAGAGACTTGCACTTGTTAGGAGAATTTGCTGACAGAGTCTGAAAGTCAAACGAAAAACAAAAGATACCAAAGGCCAGTAGGAGAACCAGACCTCAGAGTTAATGACACTTCTGATAAAATAAACCCTGCAAAGACAAATACTAAGCAGGCTATCACGGTGCTCATCAACTCAGTATCAGTCTTCAAAGTTCTATTCTTTGTAGTTATTATGAAATGGATCTAATCCTTTGGCAGCAGGCATAGTATGTTCTGTCTAATACTCTGATGGAATTTGAGAGACAATGAATATTGGTTTTAGATGGACAGTTCTAAAGCAGTTTGTATCAACTGTCTGTATGGCTGGTTGAGATTTTCTCATGGCAGGCATTACTTGATTTCCAGGAGGTTTGTAACATACTGCATTATACATATATTTTTAGTTCTTTGTTATTCAGAATGTTCTGCTGTTATAAATGTGTAAAAGCTTACAAACTTAATTTTACATTTCCATTGCTTATTGAGTTTTTATTGTATAATAGCTATTTCAATTCTCAGTTCAGTTCCCCTCAAATTTTTTTTCTGTAGTTCATGTATAAGTCTAATCAATAGTTTCACATGAAACAACCTTTGGAGTGTGAATGCAAAATTTATTATCAAAATTTACTAACTGTCTTCTGATTTTTTTTTCCAGAATGATTTTCAACTTTGAGATTTTTGCTCTTGTCTAGTGTTTCATATTTCTTCCTCATGACATATTATGTGCATTTCAAGT